GAAGCCCAGGGTAGGAAATGGAAACACTCTGAAACTTGTGGCTGTGGCCTCCTGCAGCTGTGTTTTATTGCCAGGCTGGATTTTACTGGGGAGGTAAGGAAAAAGGAGGCAAAAATAAATTTACCCACTTTTTTCCTCCTGGTAAAAACCTGAAGGTAGGGAGACTAATCCCAAAAGGATCAGTATGTGATAGTTATTTAGCCTGAAGTACAGAAACAGGCTGAGTAAAAAGGTGTACCAGTGTTCAGCAGATGCTGCCTAGTTGTAATAATATTGCAAGACTGTTAGTCACTTTTTATTTTTATCTCTCCAGCAAATAAAAAGTAGAGAAATGACAGCAGTGTAGAGAAGGGCTTTGTTTTGTGTTTGCTGCTGCTGGCTCTGACAACCAGATTCTTTGAAATATCACTGAAAAGTTAAGCTAGAAAATAGCAAATGCTCCTTCACGCAGTTGTAGGATCTGTCTGTTTGTGGCTGGCCCTGATAACAGGTCGCATGGCATGTCCCAGGGTTCTGCAAAAGTGACGTTTTTCGCTTGTCACAAATGCACATGGATGTTAAATGTTCCTATTTTAAAGCAAATGAAAATCTCAGACTTCCTCCTCTCTTCGTCACTTCCATTTTGTGCTTCACTGTATATTTGTTTATACCCTCCGTGTTCCCCAAGTTGTTTTTAAAACCTATGAAAATCTGGCTTGAAAGTTTTTCTGAGTGACCTCAATTGATGGGCTTTTACCAGATTGCTTTTGTAAAAGGAATCTCTCATTGGAGCAAGTTCTTGGGTAGTTTTTAGGCCCTCATTTTTGTCAGGACTAATGGCCTTCACTGCAGTGGCAATGATGCCACTAGATTTTCTCTTTGACTAAGAATCTTCAGCGACTCCAGTTGTAGATGCCCCGCTTTTCTTGCAACTTGTAGTAGAAAAGTTTGGGTTTAACAGTATGTTTACTAATTTGGGGACTCATGAGTCGTCATCTCTTCCTCCTTGGGATTTTTGGTTATGCTTTTAATGTGCTCTTTAATGACCTCAGTTACAAAAATAGCTCCCTAGAAATACCCCAAAGGAGATGATTCTCTTGGAAATTTCTTTTAAGTCTCAAGTTTACTATCAGTTATATTTATTTGTGGATAAGTAATTCAGGTTCCTGATCCTTCTGTGAAGCCTTTTTATTTTAGAGGAAATATGCTCCTATTCTGTGGACTTCCTGAACCTTTTCTGCTTTGCAGGTGACATTAACTTTCACACTGAAGCAAATTGTGGCATGTTTTGTATCTGACTAGAATGTTCCTTGCTTAATTTCTTACTATTTTCTATTTGGTTATGTGAGATGATCAGATAACAACAGCTTTGTACTTGACTTCTGGAAGATTTAGGCCCAATGATTTATGCATCTGCCTCTTCTTTGTTGCAGAAAGCCAGATGGAAAAGACCAGTATCCAAATATGCAACGTATACAGGCAAATTGGTGTTGTTCTGTTCTGCTGAAGTCTCTTTGGTGCTTTCACATACCCTTTTTTAAGTTAATGACTTGGCTGCTGAAAACCTTTTCAGTTGCACAGGTGGGAGGTTCATCAGGTTTTCCAGGATACCAACAAATTGTGTTTGCTAGGTGTATTCATAGGTTAATTTGCTGCATTGGTTGCTTATTTATTTTATTTTATCTTATTTTGGACTTGGATTGCTTCCATTCAGAGGTCAGTAGCTGGGAATGTGGGGGTAGTCTTAAATTCCTGAAACACAGTTGGTTTGTCATCCCTTCACATTTCAAGATCTGGAATTTGTCCCCCCCCCAACTATTTGGATGCTTATCTGAAACCAAAGGAGCCCCTTCCTTAAATGCAAGTTACGAGGAGCTTTCCAAGGAGAAAGTTCAACTCTTCATGTATAACCAGAATCGGAGCAGAAGCCCAGGGCTTTTTTTTTTGTGTGCCCTCTGCTCCAGGTTGTATTTTGTAAATATTATCCATCATGGCACTGTAGTAGAAACAGAATCACTCTTTTAGCTGGAGATGGCTCTGTGTGTATGTGTGTCCTCAGTTTTTTAAATCTGCCTCTCCAAATCAATTAACTCAAAATACAGCAATTTCACACGTGCTTAAAGAGTGGTTAATATAGAATGGGATGCTCAGCACAGCTTTATGTCCAGTTCTTGCCTTGTGCTTCCTGTTGCTGCAGAGCTCTGAGCCTTATAAAAATGTTGCTGAAGAGAGATTTGTGTTCATGAAAGTGATCCAACTAATATCCTGTATTTTCCTATTTAGTATGTTGAGCATATGTGTTCTAGCTGCTCTTTCTGGTTTCTTTTTTATTCCTTGTTGTTTGTGAATAGTGATGCATCAGTAACTGAAGCTTCATTGCCTCTTTGCACGTACGACATCTCACTCGCCATGTTGTGATGTTTTATAGCTCAAAATGGATAGAAACTTTATGATTTGCTGTATTTGTTCATTTGTATTTATAGCAGTACTGAAGTTGTGTTAGCAACAAAATACTCTGAATGGATTTAGTTTTCTCTTCATCTAGAGAATTGATTACAAGGGATTCCAGTTTATGCTTGACTTCTGAAACGTTCAGTCTGTCGTAAATCCTTTATGGCTTGTCTTTTTGGCATTAAACCTGTTTGATTTGGATCTTTGTTTAAAATGTCTGTGTTAAAGGATTGTGCAATGTTCTCGTCAACAATTTATTATTCCTGCTTAACAGAATCAGAAGACTGGCCCTAATTTACCAAAAAGTTCAGAATTCCTCATGGATTTGAGGGTTTAGCCTTAGAGGGGGGAATGAGAGAGAGATCTAGGAGCTCACTGAGCACTTCCAGTAGGTTTGGAATGAATAGTCGTTACAAGCCTTCTAAGTCCAAGGAAATCATCAATTTCTGAGGTTTTATTTTGAGCCGTCTCCAGCACTGAGTGTGTGAGTGTGTTCATCCTTACAGTAACAGTTAGGTTTTTTGGGTTTTTTTGCTCCTCTTATGTTATAGAAGAAATCTTTGGGTAAATCAGGATTTGGGATTTTGAGAACGACCTTTTGTCTTGCCATTGGTTGCCATAAAGTTGCCAGTGTGTGACAACGTTAGATGTGTGTTGTATGATCTAACATTGCTAGCTTAAAACTTAACTGTATTGACTCTAGCAAACAGTAATACGTGCTGGAGAGCCTGTCTTGATTGATTAAATGATTAAAAGATTAATCATTTAATCTAAATGATTAAATATCTGGTCTCAGTGGCAGCAAGCAAAGGGATATAGAACTAATGTTGGCACCTGAATGACTGACTGCTTTTATATAATTGAAAGAAATCTTCTGTTAAATCACTTTCTATTTAAGTTAGGGTCCACTTTAAAAAGCATAATATATGGGGAAAAAATCAAAATGCATTTTTGGTTTTGGCAGCTAAGAATATTTTAAATGTCTTTGGATAGTTTCACAGTTTCTCATTTTGTGAGGTTGAGTTTTTAGGTGGTTATAACTAAGTATTTTCACAGGTAGCGATAGTCTCATAGACTAATTCTAATGGAAAGGAATCTCTGCTTTGGGATCTCTAAACATACATCACTTTGAGTATCAGATAACAAGATACCTTTTTGCAGTGCGTAAATGAAACCTGGAAATAGGCCTCTCGCTTCAGAGTCAACAGTAAACTCATTTTCTGCAGCCTCAGTGCCGGCAGGTGAAGAATAATGCTTAGTGGGTAGAATTACTAGAGCTGTAATTTCTCTAGGGGCATCCTGCGTTCACTGCCCTTTTCTAGGGAATGTCCCTAAGCCACTGGAGGGGAGGAGGAGAGAAGCCAGGGGAGAGCATCAGTTGTGGAGCTGCAGTGTAAATGACCCTGTGCTGCAGGCAGGCAGCAGATGCCGAGGCCTGTGGCCCTGCAGCGTGGCGGGAGCTGCAGCTCGCCCCGAGCAGCGCCGAGAGGTTCTGCCTGGCCCCGGCGCCTTCCTCCTTAGCGGCAGCCCCGCTATCCATCGCCAGGGGCCCCAGGGGCTCTGTGCAAATTCCCTTGTGTAGACAGCACTGTTCATTCATCCAGCGTGCAGCACACATAATAGATTTTAACCCTATTTTTTGCCTGACTTTGTATTTAAATGTCAGCAAGTACCTTTGAATGATATTAATCTTGTTACTGTTTAAAATGTAGTCCTGCCCCAGCATTTTCCTCACCTTTAGCCCTGTGAGCGTTGCTTGCATTGCTTTGTGGTGAGTGTTGCATCTGCTCCTGAAGGCTGATCATGAAGTAGAATAGATTAGATTTTTATTTGATTGTTATCAGCATTGATTGTTCCCCTGTGCAGTCCACTGCTGCGTTCTGGGCAACTAGATGACTGATATGAGCTTAAAAAGTAATTTATTGAATGTTTGCATACTGTTGCTCAGAATTCATTTACAGGCATTTTGGCATTAGAATTGTTAATGTTTTGAAACACTTGTGGGCATCCATTGCATTCTCAGTTATTTGTATAGCTCATTTAAGGTTTCTTACTGGTTGGTTATATCAAGTCTTAAAATTTCATAAAGATTCTCAACAGCTGTATGTGGTCTCAAGGAGGCTTGAAGTTTTCAGAATGTGTGACACTGAGAAATGTGTCAGACTTATTATGTTACCTGCAAAGCAACTAGAGCATATTAAGAAAATGTTTTGAGTGAGCTAGGGGGAAGCCTGAGTAGTTAAAAAGGAGCTCCTCTGTGCCCATTGGGTCTGCTCCCAGGCCTCATCTCAGCAGAGCTTCAGAATTTAAGAGAAAGGACCCTGGGATTTCACTTTAAGCAGATCACTGCCTGCACAGTGGGTGATATGAAACAGCAGTGGCTGCAAAGGCGTGCTGAAATACAGGAAGGAGTGCTCAGTTACTGCTCTCTAGGATATTTGGCATTATTAAATGCACTTCTGTATTATGCCTTCAAGAATTCTTTCTCTTGATACAACAGTTTTAGACAGCTAGAAACATTTCTGTAAGATATATTCATATTAAAATTTATTCTTATTTTTTTCCTGTAGGCAATTAAAAGTCTGGAAGACTTGGTTTCAAAACATATTCCACAACTTTCAAAGGAAGTGGATCTACATGAAGAGCTACAAAGGGAGTTGATTTCAGAAGACAGTGTTTGCGAAGATGTCTCCAAGTTATGCAACTCCAGTGTTTGCTTTGATGTTGTGTTTAGCAGCTGCAGGTAGGTGGCATTATGTAAATCATATTGTATGTATTTAGAGCCATTGATCAAAAATGGTTGTTAGTGTTAGAGAAATGTAGGTCAGCTGAAGCTTGTATAAAGCCAAGATGTAAATACCGGAAATCACGATCACAGTTTTGTATGACGCTGTAAAAATGCTGCTGTTCCTGTAAGAGTTTTCTTGTGCCTATTGGCCCATTTCACATCTTCAAAGACTAGTGATAGATCAGTGATCTCTTTTGTGAATTACCTTAAGCATGTGCATGTGCTCACACACAGGGATCAAAAAATTGCATAGTTTGCATGCTAAAGCAGGGGGACCACACAAACCAGTGGAAATGGAAGCAGGGTAACTGCTGTTAGGCATGCTGAGTGGCCAGACGTACTCCCATGGGTGTGCTGCTGAGGCTGCTGTTGCTTCAAATGTGAGCTGGGGTCTCTTCACAGAACTGGACTTCTCAGTAAGTGTCTAATCTGCAGTTAAATTTCTGATCACTTATTTTCTGGAAAAATTAGAGGAAAGGGTTCTTAACATAGGTCACTGAGAGCATCCTTTTCCTTTCTGATCCTAAACCTTGCTGATGTCATTCCTTTTCGATGTTTAATCTTAATGTTGTAAAGCTAGCTGTCAGTGGTGTTGATAAAGATAGCATTAACACTATTGTTAGTAAAATACTAGGTGAGTAAGATGCATCGTTACAGGGTGGTGCATTTCGCACGGTTTTTCCTGTATATGTATTTTTATAACAATGGGTTGCAGCAATGGGTTCTTCTAACAACTGAAAGATCTGTAGACTGCTTGTTCCTAGCTTTTATTGTAATGTCTTCAAGAGATACATAAATGTAATGATTTCTTTGTATGCTTGCTTTGTCCAAGTTTTTCCTTTGGTTCCAAGGGGCAGCTGCTGCTCATGTCCAGCTTGTACACATCACGGGTCATTGGGGAAGAGGCCAAATGGATACACAGTCAGGCAAAATGAGGTAGTGGGAAAAGTGGACAGATGTCTTGCTTAAATCTGAGATGTCCTCATTGTGGAAAAGATGACCAGCTTTGGAAGAGACGTGGCCAAGCAATTAAGTATGTTACAATCTGGCATGTTCTCATCAGCACGGAAAACTATGTTGTTCTAGCCCTCAAACCTTGTGGGACATTCTCTGGGGCTGACCTCCTGAAGGCATCTGTCCAGCATTAGTAAATTTGATTAAATAGTAGTATTTGGTGATAAGATTTTGCAATAGTTTCATTATAGTTGAATTTTAGCAATACAGGGTGTGTCTGAGTGTCTGGAGCTTGAGTTGTGGATTTGAGTACTGGTGTTGGCTAAGAGGGATTATTTAGCACCAAGTATTAATCATTCTAAATTCATTTAAAAAATCTACTTTAGATTAAGTGCCAGTGAGATTAATTAAACAATTGTGATTTATGAGTCAGTTCCATTTTGTTGCTGAGGAGATTGTTTTTGAGCAGGCAAGTTGACTTGCCTCCTAATAACAGCTTTAATTAAAATAATACTATTTTTAAGTGTTGCCAAATGTAGCACCACTACTAGAAAATCAGTACTCAGAAGCCTTAGCACATCTGTCTATTGCAATTTGTGTGGATCTTTTTCTTTGCTCTTTCCTGTTCTGTTTTTTCTCTATTGGCAGCTGTTCTTGAAGCAAACTCTTAATGTCTTTGTGGCTTCAGATTTGCTCAGATGCTTTTTCATAAGCAGTAATAGAATGATAGGCTGGAAGGGATCTCTGGAGGTTGTCTAATGCAGCCCGTGCTCAGGGCAGGGCTACCTTCAAACCTGTTTCCCTTTCAAATTGCTCCATCCCTCCATCTGCACCAAAAGGGAGCAGGAAGAGTAACAGTCAGTTAGGGGACGATGAAGTGCTTCATGCTTTCTAGCTGTTGTTGTTCTGTTTTTCCTTTTTGTCCTAAATTCTTAATGAGAATGACTAGCTTTTGTGTCATTTTCAGAGTATGAGATTACAGTGAGGTTTGAGCAATAGGGGCTGATGGACTGTGGCAAAGAGAGGTATCTTGGGCAAAGAGTTACAGCTGGGAAGGAGAGCTGTACGAAGGTTATGAAAGTAGAGTTTTTGTAAAGGTTTTCTGTTGAGTTGCGTGTTAGCCCCAGCAGTAACTACGCTTTACAGTCACAGAGGTAAATGCAGGGGGTTGCAGGTGGCTCCTGATGAAGGTGTGGGGAGGGCTGTGGCAGATGGGGTGGCTGCAGCTGCCCCTCCAGCGCACGGCACCCTCACTTCCTCAGGCTTGAACCACTAGCATTCAAGTACTTCCCACAGTACAAGTGAAACTAAGAATTATAAATAAAATCTGTGCATGCCTGTGGTGAAGCCTGGGGGAGGCAGGGGGCAGCATGCCACCTCCCTGGGGTGATGGTTTTTATATATTGAGCCTTTTTCCAGCCAGCACTGTATGTCTCAAGTCAAGGCTGCCACAGGAGAGCTCCCTGTTCTGCTCCGTCAGCCCTGCGCTGCTGCTGCTCCAGGTTTCGTGCTTGCTTACCAGTAGCTTCAGCACTGGCATGGGGCATTTCTAGACGGAATCTCTGTGGAGGTCTCTTTCCTTTTCTGTTCCTGCTCTTTAAGAGCATTAATGTGTTAGTATCTCTCTAAAAATGAAGTTAGATATTGTGATCCATGGAGATGCTGATTCAAATCTGAGCTGTATGAGTGCATGTTTTTCATTTCCTGGCTAACAGATTGAGGATGTACCTGCTAGTTACTGTACTGAAACTGGCCTGTATCAATATTCAAAGACTGATTTGTGTCTCTGCCTCTTACTGATACATGCATCTAGATGCTTATCTAAGTCTGTACTTCTAGCTTGTACACAGATTTCAATTCTATAGCAAAAGGCTACAAGGAAGAGTTGGTTTAGTGTGTTTTTTTTACTTTTTTATGAAAAGTCTGAGACAGGAGGGAGAGGAGGAGATTGGCTGGCAAACTATGTGCCCCTCTGAAAGATTTATGTTTTTGAAGAGAGCTTGAGCAAAGCTCTGGCAGCGCACAAGAGGAGGTCCGTAAACACTTAAACATGTGCGTGCTACTGCCTTGGGTAACCTGATAAGCAAGTCTGGCTTTGTAGTTTTGGGAGCAAAAATATTCTGTCCTAATGTAGCTTAAATCAAAGACTGAAATCAACTTCTAGTTGTTGGCAAATTTGTGCTGTTAGGGGGATGATGGATGTCTTGGAGAGCTGAAATACCTGCTCTAGACCCTGAGGGCCAAACCTTCAAAATAAGCTATTTCTGTGACGGACATTTTAACCTTGGGCTCCTTTTCTTGCTTTTTCTTTTTTCTACTCTATTGTTCAGTGGGAAGAAGGAATTGACTTTTGGACAGAGCAGCGGGGTGATGCAGCCTCTCCTGTGGCCAGGGTTTTCATATTGGGCCCCTGGGGCAGATCTGCTGTGGCATCTGGCACCAGCCAAGGTTGTTGCCTTTCCTCAACCATGAGCATCTGCTCTTACCTCCTTCGATACCTCTTGTTTTGTGGAGTTTCACAGTTGGGCAGGATGATGGAAAAATTATGAGAATTGGATTTTAAGTAGGTATGTCAAAGAAATAAACCAGTAACTTAATGTTACAGAAAACTGTTCATCTGGGCATGTTAGGTTTTGTCTTTCTCTTTCTTAATTTTCAATAGCGCATTAGTACCTGTGTTGCTTTGTCACCTTAGTGCCTTTTTTTCAAAACAAACCTAATTGCTCTTAAGTAAACTTGTGGTGTTCAGAGCCGTTTTCAGTGCGGCTGTTGGCTTGTCTACTGATGTGTCTCTTGGATCTGCGCCCTCCAGATATGGAGGTGATGGGTGCCATGTTAATGAGCGTAACAATAGGAAGAAACAGGCCATAACATGACATCACTTTTTTTAAAGAGAGGAACTTCCCTTGGCCTTGGACACTTTGTTTCCAAAAGCAATATAGGATCCTCCAAAGTATAATAGAAAGTCCTTCCACGGCTAGGTGAAGGACATGATCTGAAGATAAAAAAGAAAATGCTGGGAATCAGTCACACAGACTTCCTTCCTTTTTAAACAGTGTTTGCTGGGTATTTCCCAGATGTAATTAAGCTGTAGGTTTTATTTTTCCTCAAAATATTTATTGCTAGAGGTGTGGAAGGTTTTGTTTATCTAAATTGTGGTTAGAAGATGAGAACCAAGGGACAGAGGTTGGCTCTGGAATTACTAGAGCTGAAGTAAAGTGCGGGCTGGTTTCAGCCATGGAACTGTGAAGATTTTTACTTTCTGCTTCCCTCTCTCTTCGGTTCTCTCAGGCCCTGCAGTGCTGTGTCCCTTTTGCGACTGCCACACTGGGTGTCAGGGAGGCTGGGGAGGCTGAGCCCCCACTCCCTGCATGGAGGCTCGGAGGGAAGGGCCTCGCTCTGGGAAGCAGAGCTGCCGGTTCTCTCTGTTTCTGGGAAACAGTGATTGCAAACAACCAGCAAGCTGCTAGTGACAGATGACTTTCATTTTTAAAAGTTTGGTTAATATCCTGAGGTGTCTTATTGTCAGATGTTTCTCTGTTAGGGGAGGAAGTGATTAATGACTAACTCCCTGTTAGTGAGCTTGGTGAGAAAAAGCCAAAATATGTATAAAAACCTAGAGTTAATCTCTAAAAGTAAAGAACACCTTTCAAGCAGTAAATAATATTTTAAAATGATCTGTTTAACTGATCACATTTGGAAAGTTAGGCTAAACTTACATATTCCTAAAATCTCTGCAGCAATTTTGGCATAATAGGCCCTCCTGTTTGATCTAGTTTCTTCTGCATTAGAAGACCATAATGAAACAAATGATTTATCCCACACCAAACTCAACTGAGTTAGGTCTCATCTCATACATAAGTAATATTTTAACCTTCCAGAAATGCACTGAAATATCTCAAACTTTTTGAAAGTTAAGGGTAGGGAGAAAGATATTTCAGAAGAGATAACTGTATCCGTTTGAATTGCTTGAACTTAGCAAGCTGCATTTTTCCTTTATC